TGTGAATTCTGGCTCCATATCCTGTACTCTGAACATCAGAATAAAAAGAACTCAAAAGTGGGAGATAACATACACAGATTGGAAAAAGATAAAATCATTGAAATGAAAAAAAATAAAATGAAAAGACAAGTGAGAACAGAAAGAAATCCATATTTATAATTTTTCTAGTATAATAGCTGTTCTTCAAAAGTGTGTTGATTTTACACACACAAATATACATACAGGCAGTGTGATGAAAAAATATGGTGAATGTTTAAAGTTAAAAATAATTTATTAAAATAAAAGGCACATTGCAAATAATCCCCCTCAGAAGACCCCCAGTTGCTTCAAACACACTCATCCCATCATTCTTGCTTTCTGAAGCAGTTTTGGAAGTCCTCTTTCAGGAGTGTCTTTAGCTGTGCTATCATGGTTGTTTTGCTTTCCTGAATAAATTAAAACCTTTTACCTTTCACAGTCATTTTGACTTTAGGGATTAGCCAGAAGTCATTCAGTGCCAGATCAGTGAATAAGGTAGATGAGAACACACCCTATGTTTTTGCAAACCTGACTTTCCACTGGATGGCTTTTGGCATCAGCATTCACCATACTTTTTTATTACACTTTGATAGACATTCACAAAAGAGGACTTCCGAACTGCTTCACATGGAAGAACAATGGAGTACAAATACATTCAAAGTGAGGGGGAGTCCTTTAAGGGAGCATAATAGCAATATGCCTTTTACTGAAATAAATTTTTTTAATTTAAACATCCACTCCATAGTTTGACCGCTACTTGTGTGCCTGTGTGTGTGTGTGTGTGTGTGTGTGTGTGTGAGCATTGTTATTTATATATCATGGTGGACTACATATAGGTATATGTGTATATATTCTTAACATGTTAAAAAATTGTAGCAACAAAATAACAGATGAACATTTTTAAATACAGGAAACATTCTAAAATTTGACTTTTTCCAATTATTTTGATGAAAGTCTATTTTCTGAAGAGTAAAGGATAAACGTCATTTGATGAATCACAGACTACTGAAAAGGTTAAGGCAAAAGCAGAGCATTGCCATAGTTCTTTTAGCCTGAGACATGGTAATAAGTAAACTTAATTTATTCTGAACAAAATTGTTCTCACAGTGATAAGAGTCTATTTTCATGGACAATAATTAGGACAAGAATGCAGCGCAGTAAAGTTCAAGATTCACTTCCTGAATGTCAGCACCAAGGTTTTCTCTCATGATCTAGAAAAAGAATTCATGATGTTCTGTGCATTTCCTAGAGGACATGCCTGTCCTTCCACCTGTAGACATTGTTCCTACAGTTTATCAGTGAGCAATAATAAACGCTTTATAACTTTCCAAGTAGGCACTAGAATAAAGAAGGATGAAATTTCTTAGATTCCATACATACCAATTGCTGTATCTGAAAGTTGTGGCCCCTGCTCTCTCTCAATTCCTATGAAATCCGAACCCATGAGGTAATGGTGTTTCAAGATGAGGCCTTTGGGAAGTAATAGGTTAAGAGGTGAAGGCCTCATGAATGGGATTAGTCCCTTGGTAAAACAGGCCCCAGAGAGCTGCCTTGCCCTTTCCACCATGTGTGAACACATACCATCAGGGATAGCCCAACCAAGACACCCAATCTGCTGGTCCTCGGTCTGGGACTTTCTAGCCTCCAGAACAAAGAGAAGTAAGTTTCTGGTGTTCACAATCTACTAGATTATGCTATTTTTAAAAAATAGCCATCTAAATAGGCTTAGATAACCATCTTCAGTATCCTAAGTAACACTGTAATTTCTTAGAAAGTATTATGGTTATTATGAATATATACTCTCCTTAGTAGATATAATCACCTATATCATTAAACAAGATGGCCTCAATATATCATTTTCATAAGCACTAGAGAAATATGAGTCCCTATCCATATAATCCACATATTCTCAATAAATTGATCTTTCATAAAATGGCATAAGTATAAAAAGCTATCATATAGTTGGTTAGTGTAAACCAGGTTGTATACAAATCTACAAAAATTGACTCCAATGTGAAAAGTTTTTGATAAGTGTTATCATCAAATTCATCCTGGGTGATTCAAAAAGTGTCTCCAAAACTTTTATGGCCATAGTTATCAACATAGAGTGAGGGCAGAAATTCAAGCAATCATTCTAATGACTCATGAAAAGAAAAATGTATTTGCCTTGTTGTACAAGTCTTTCAGAGAGTTAGCTCATGACATATCTCTCACCTCAGCTTACCATAAATAAAAATAAAGACTCAGACTATGAGGCAATGTCTTGTACTGTAATAGATGTTTAGCTGAATCTTCAACTTCATTCCATTTTAGGATACTGGGCTGCGTTCCTGCACAAGCTTTGGTTGACTTGCTCACTTGGAAAGCTGTGGTCTCTACATCCAAGGACAGAGACTCTAACATTTAGACACTCTTGTCTATCACCATCCAATAGAGCTGCTGGGATTACTGGTGTGACTTCATAAACCTTGCTCAGCACATGGCTGGGAGGGGAGGTTTTAGACAAAAATGGGATAGTCAGCTTGCATATTAGTAGCCACATTGATGCAGATGATACTTGGAATGTGCCTAAAGTTGCTGGTTAGTTCTCACTGATTCTTTTGTTAGGTCACTGAAGGTCAGTCGACCTGGTTGACTACACTGGCACACGTGCATGCATGTGTGTGGTCTCCATTTTAAATGAAAGTTTGTTCATTTTTTTCTTCACTATTCACATACATATAAGATTCTTTCATGTGGAAATCATCCTAGAAGGGTGGGATAGACTGTCCAAAGTCCAAACATTTGCTCCTGAGTCATTAGGTTTGCTGCTGCTCTCTGGGGAACTCCCTCAGAATTTCAGGCTCATATGGAACTCTTCTGCCTGCTCATATGGTCCCCTATCCTCAAATAAACATCTCCACTTTTATTCTTTTTTCATAATGATGATGGGGTTCAGGACTTGTTACCCTAAAATATTGCACCTTGGCATATTGAATATTTTAAGCTAAAAAATGTAATAAATGTCAGAAGCAGTAAGGTCACTCTCACCTTTCCATCTCTCTTTTCCTCTGAAGTGGGTCATTAAACCTAGGAAGGATGTTCTGACCTCCCCATGAAGTAGAATAGAAGGCCTGCATTTGAGAGGTGCCCTTCCTATACCCAGAGAAAGGGAACATTCTTATCTCTGAAAACATGAAGAATCTGAAGACAGGAAGAGCCTAAAAAACCAGGCCCCCAATGCATTACCATTAGATCAACCATCCATCCCCCTTGTATAGTTAGTTATATCTCATGACAGTCATCATCAAACTTGCATAAACATATGTAAGCTTAACTATTTCTTTGATTCTTTATTTCTGAAAAGTTCCCAAGTCACATAAACTGATATTAAATTTGTACATTTTTCTCTTGTTAACCTGATTTGTGTTATAGAGATCTTAGCCAGGAACCTCAGATGATGGGAAAAAATAGATATTTTCTTCCCTTACATTTACAATCCATTTGAAATCAAATCTCTTTACCTATCTCCTTTCTCACTTAGCATTACTGTCTGCCACTGGACTAGACATATAAGGGAAGTTATGCAGCTCAGGTACAGCCCATTTTTCCTCACTTAGAGGCTTGAATACATGCTGCACAATGAAACAAAGAGCTCCAGTATGGCGGATCAGAACCAGTGGTCCATGTGAGTAAGCAAGGTTTCATTCCTTTCTCTGACTCTTGTTCCATGTACAAGTAACTTACCTTCTGAGTTCCTTAGTTGTCTCATTCCCAAAGTGAGGATAATAACACTGTTTACCTCATACAGGTTTCAAAAGTGTAAAGTCAGAGTAAATTAATAACACCTGGACAACATTTATCACAGTGCCTGGCTCACAGCAGATGCTCCATAAGCATTTTTCATTATTATTTTAAGCCCCATTTCTCCATTCAAATTGATACTTCTTTTCTATTCTTTGCATTGTTTGGAGGTTTTAAGTAGATAGTGGAATCTCATAATTTATTGTATCTGTCTAGTAAAATCATATTGAATCTGTGCTATTTCTCAGTTTCAAAGTAATGAGAGCAGGAAAGAGTGAAGCCAGGCATTATGTACAGTTTTGTTGTGCTCTTCAGCTATGAGGAGTGGCAGGGCTCAGTAGAAGGGAGAAAGCTGTGTGTTCAGAATGGCAGTTATCTCAGCTCTGCCTTCATGCTGCCTGAACCGCCAGGAAGGACCAGCTCATACCCTTTCAACTTATGGTCGCCTTCCTTTAAAAGTAAGGCTATCTAAAGGATTAAAACCACTGGTCTTGAGGTTTCTATCATACTTATGACCATCTTTTGGCAATATACCTTTAATTAAACCCTTGTTGGAATATTTTTAAATGTTTTTTTAACATACTTTGGTATCTCTTTTCATCTTCCATTTACGAGAAATCACAACAGGCTCCAATTCATTCACCCACTGAGGAAAATCCTCTAACTTCAGGACATTAATTCTGAATAAAAGCAGGAGAAACTTGGAAGTAGTATTTCTTACTGAAGAACCCACAGTTATGCTTGTTATATTTCCACAAATTTCTATATTGTCAAGTCAATCCAACTAAAACGATACTGAAAAATCTGAGCATGTATTTAGTCTTCTGGAGTCGAGTCCATTTGCGGTCATCCTGCAGTCTTTGGCATGCAGGCCTGTTACTTGCACCATCCCACACGAGAACATTACGGACACTGGGTTGTTTTAATTTGATGACAGTGCATCTCATGTGAGATTGATTTTCCACAACTGCTGATTCTAATATTGTCACACAACATTTGAAGATGGACCTTTGTATCACCAAGCATCTTCTTAAAAAGTAACACCCATAAATACAAACTGCATATAAGATTTCAACTATTTTTCCTAATCTGGTTACATAAAGTTCTTTGATTTAAATTAAGCCAAAGTTGAAACTAAACAGATTTTCTGTGACTATTTCATTTTTGAGATGAAGTCAAAGATTTGCATTTGAGGCTTCCCTTTCCTGAATATAAAGCAGCATTTCTGGCTGGTGCCTAGAATCAGCTGAATGTCAATAGTCTGGGTAAACAGATGGAGTTCCATTCTCTTATTTAGTTATTTAAAGTATTGTCTCACATCAATAGTAAATAATAACAACAACTTCTTGGTGAATGCATGTGAATGGAAATTCCTGTTTATATATTTGGGGAGGAGAGGAGAACATATTGAGAATAACAGGCATATGCAAATCCCCACATCACTTTTTCCCCTTTACATTCAGTGACCAAATATGAAAATTCTTCTGTAAATGCCCTCAGAAATGGCACAAAACTGTTCTAAATAGCTACAGTGTTTGTGACTTTGATACTTTTCCTATAAAAGTTTCTTATTTGGATGTTAATTTTTCAGTCACCAAAATATCTTATAACATAAAGTGGTTTTGAGTGTTCACATTAGCTACAAAAGAAATACGGCAAGCATTTTATGTGTATGTATGCACACATTCACACACACATACACACACAACTGGATGATGTTTCCAGAGTTAAGTGGAGGAAACATCTTTTCATGGTTAAGTGTAAAGTTTTCAAAGAGATAAATAAAAAAGTTTAACAGATGTAAGCCCAATTTGCAGAAATAATATTAATCATTTTCTTTGGAGCTATTAGTATCCCTTAAATGACCATAGATTATTTCCCCCCATCTCAGGGCTGGAAGTTGCCCACAGGGAACACACCAAGCAGCCAGGAAGATACCTGACTCCACCTTTGGAGGAAAAATCACACAGGGAATAATGTGGATCAACAGATCCTTGGCGTCTGAGACCCATTCTAAGGAAATACCACCTGGCAATCATATCATCACAATATGACACCCAAAAAAGCAATTTATAAAACAAATACTAAATAACTGGACAAAATTTTCATCATAATCCATATCTTTAGGCTAAATAATGAAATTTAATCACCAAAAATATTAGATATTAGGGTTCCAGATGATAGGGTAACCCATTATCATTTAGCTTTTTCTTTTTTATCATTAGCAGTTTAAAAAATCAGAAAATAATATGGCTTCAAGTGGATAAATAAATATGAATTTCTAAGGAAATCTTTGCATTATCTATTGTTTTCTTCTTGCTTTGGTTCTGAGGATAATTTCTCTCCAAGTTTTCTAATAAGCTCTGCTAGGTCTTCTGTATTCTGAGATTTTTCTTCTAGGAGTTCGTAGCGGAGACTGGAGATGTCCTGCTTAATTTCCTTCAGTTCCCCTATGAAAAGTACAAATGGTGAGAACTCAATTATAAACATGCAATACAGAGAAAACAATGATACTGCAAGAATGAAATCAGCCCTCCTTTCACTCATATTTGCATTTGGAGCAGATTTCTAATTTCTCAGATAAATTTTGGTGAATGAAGAGACTATACAAAATTATACCAAAGAACTCCTAGAGTATGTTAAAAAGAAATGGTGGTGAATGCTGTAGGTTGGAGCAGCAGGCCTTCTACTTTCCCAACATTTCCTCCAAGCCCCCATGCTTTTTATCTAGCAAGTAACATCTGGGAGGAATTGCCTGCTTCCTACTGTTTCACAGAGTTGGTGACTGTTGACACCCTGTTCTGTCTCCCTGAAGCTCACCTTTTCCGATCCCATCTTTCCTGCCTTCCCTCGGCTCCAGCTCTGCATCAGGCCCCATGTCCTGGCTCACTGCAGGGGCTGGGTTATCCCAGTGTTCAACTCACCTTCGTTAACCTCGTCACTCTCTTTATCTATCTGGGCTTGCAGTACATATCTTTTAATGAGCCTTTTCATTATTTTCTAGACAGAGAAAGGGACATCAATTTCAGTATTATGTTCACAACAGATCTCTCATTTGAAATCAGTTTCTGTGCTTCATCCCTTTAGTAACCACTTTGGAAATGATGGTTGTTAAAGACAAAAGTGATTTTTGTTGTTCTTTTGGAAGTAGTGTTCATATCACCTGAGCTAATGACTCAAAAGTTAATTTTTGGGAAAATAGTAAGTAGGGCAGACTTTTAACTGTATATATCCATGGCTTGCATTTTACTTGAAAAGTATTAGAGTAAGACACACTCTTTCCATTAGGCAGATTAAAGGTGTGTGGTACTCTATATGGAAGTGGGGGATTAAGCAGATGTTCAGTTGTTCATGTTCTCCCACACACTCCATCAAGAAATGTAGCCATTTTTATTTCATATTACTACTACTTTAGGAATATCTAGCTTCAATATTATAAAGTATCTCTAGTACCTGGGCTTGTATTATATGGATATTGTTTTTACTGTATACTTATTAAAAAATCAGAAAACTCAGCATGTGTACAGAATGTTCTGGATGGATATATAGCTAACCAAATCTTACCACCTAAGCCAGAGATTAAATGGTGGGCAATAAAACTCTACATTCAAAAACTTATTCTAAGAATATAATTTGGTACATAGATAAGTATGTTCATAGTAGAACTACTTACAATCACAGAAAAAAAGAACTTCAACTTCAAATGTCTATCAGTAGTGAATTATTTTAATTAATTATCATATACTAACAGAAAGGAATACCATACACCCATCAAAAGTAGTAAAATGTACGTCTCATAGAGTGAAAATAGGCTATAAAACTATTACTCAGTCTATAAGCAATATTAACTCATTTATATAATTGGCAGAGTATTCACCACACATAAGCAGTCTTTATTTCTCAGTGGCGGATTTTGGGGTACATTTTACTGTCTTCATCTTGTGAGATTAGCCTTTTGCAATGAAAATATAGGCTGTAAGCTACATGAGTCCAAGATTTTATCTACTTTTCTATGTTTTCAGTACTTAGTGCTTCATACATGGTAGTTATTCAAATATTTGTTGAATGAATATATTATTTTTATATTGAGAAAAATATCCAATATTTTATTTTACTTAGTGAATCACATAGTTTGAGAATATAAATATTATAAGTAACTAGCCTTACTTATTTAAAAGTTAATACTTACCTGATATTGTCTTGGAGGATTACTGAAACTATTTAAATGGAAATCTTCTGAGCTTCTTATGCTTGATTGTTTGTTTTGCCCAAGCTATAATTTGAAAAGAATTAGAAATTAATTCTTATTTAATTTTAAAAATTTTGAATAATGTGTGAGATTTTTTATTAGTTACACATATGAACTAATAAATATATATATATATATATATATATATATCTTGTCCATGTGTATAGTGTCATTTCTATCTAACTTGCTTAATATTCTGTCTCCCAAGATTAGTCAGTGGCACTGTAGGTATCTTCAGACCCTTAATGGCTATTAGCAGCTTAGAGGCCTCTTAGACTTTGTGGCTGTCAATCATGTTGTCCTAACAGTCACACTATAACCTTTCCACAAATACAACTATAGTAAGAGAAGAGGCCAAGGAGTTGGAGAACTGATGGCAGTAATCTCAGAAGTCCCTTAAGGAGGGATCAACAAGCAGCCTGAATATTTTTTTAAATTAATTTTATTGGTACATTTTATTGGTACACTTTAGGTATACAATTCGTTTACATTTATCATTGGGTGCTTGTACCTGTACATGATATATCTTGGTTCTTATTTTTTTCCTCATTACCTGTGGACCCTTCACCCCCTCCACTCTTCCCTATTTACATAGATTTCATTTCCATTTTTTTTTCTTTTCTCATAGTTTTTCCTTTCCCTCTTTTCCTTTTCCTCTTTTCCTTTCCCTTTCCCCTCCCCCTCCCTTCACTCCTTCATCTTTGGACCTTTTTTCCTATTTCAAATTATCAAATATTCATTTTAATCATTTAAACTCTTGTTTAAACTATCAGTTTCTCACACTAGTGAAACTATTTGGTATTTACACATGTGTGTCCTATTTATTTCACTGAAGAGTATGGCCTTGATATGCATCCATTTAGCTATAAATGACTCTAGTGTTTCATTCTTTATGGCTGAGTAGTACTCCATTTTATTAAAAACCCCACATTTTCTTTATCCAGTTTCCAGTTGATGGGCACTTGGGCTGGTTCCAAACTTTAGCTATTACAAACTGTGCTGGTGCACATATATCACTGTGGTATGATTCTTTTAATTCTTTTGGGAAGATACCCAGCAGGGGACTAGCTGGGTCAAATGGGACCTCTAGTCCTAGTTCTTTGAGGTATCTCCATACTGACTTCCACAGTGGTTGCACCAGTCTGCACTCCCACCAGCAATGGAGAAGGGTTCCTTTCTCCCCACAACCCGGCCAGCATTTGTTATTTGTTGATTTCTTGATAGCAGCCATTCTTTCTGTGGTGAGGTGGAATCTCAGTGTTGTAAGCATCCTGAATATTAACAGGTATATATGCTCTAGAGTCTCAGGAGGATCCTGAAAAAACACCAGGGTGAAACTTCGTTGTGGAACAGAATCCAGCTGTTGAGAAAGCACTAATTAACCTGTCTGAATTGGATCTGTATAGTATTAGCACTAATTAAGCCATTTGAAGTTGGGCATCGACATAGTGTTTCCATTTTGAAAGTACTTTTCAAGTAATATATTGTTGTGGTAGCACTTCTCAGGCAAGGAGCAAAGAATTTAAGCAATATGCAATCAATGTGGTAACATACCATATTAACATGCCAAGAGGATGACAAAAATCTCATTAATGCATTTTCTAGAGAGAAAATAAGAGAAACTGAGGAACACAGAGTATCTCTAAATCTGTATGTCTTGGATACAAATTGCCTTTCAGGAGAAGAGAAACTCTAAGACTGTCTTCAAAGACCAAAGATGTTTATTGTTTATATTTCCCAAAGACATCTCAGTTGCTATAAGTAAAGCTCAGTGAGACTCAATTAAAATCCTTGCTTTAACATCAATGTTTTGAGAGTTTTAGTAGGTAAAGTCTAGGGTTTCTCCATCATGCAACTATTAACATTTGGAGCTGGACAATGCATAGGTATGAGGGGTCCTCTGTGCAATGTAGAATGATTGGCACTGTAGAATGATTGGCAGATTGTCTCTAACTACAAGACTCCAAATAGCACATCCCTCCCCTATTGTGACAAGAAAAATACTCCAAATCAAATGTACTCTTGGGGCAGGAGTGGAAGGCACATAGTCCCTAGTTGAGAACCACTAACATTGGTAAATGGTTTATGGCTAAATAAATTTACAAATTTATTAGATCATTTTTGTGAATAGTTCTGCTGTATGTCTGAAATATTGAGATTTTGATGCAAATATATAGCATTTATTCACCAAAAAACTTATGGCCAGTTTCTAAAACATCATAGAAATTCAATACATACTTACTAAAAAATTGAAAATACAGACAAATAGTACGTGAAAGAGAAATTACTCAATGTGCAAAGATGCATTATTACCACTTGGTGGCAGAAAATCCTAATATATAGTTATTTTCATCCACAGCAACTAAAATCATTGAAAATCTGAAAAGTCATGCCTGTAACACTTTTGCACATACAAGGGAAATCAGCTTGAAATATGCATAATATCTGACCCTAAGAGATTTGAGTGTTTATATACTGTGCTCACATGTGTAGTCAGGAGCAGAAAGTGAGGAGTCTGTTAGCTGGAAGCAGAAAGGGCTGATGTCAACCTTTTTCCTGACCTGTGTGTACCTACACACACTCTCCAATTCTGAAAGCAGTACTATTTCTTTACTACATTTTCTGAATATTTCATGCATTTTCTTTCTTATTTCCTAATAATGAGTTTGATATTAGAAAGAAATGCTTATTTCTTATCTTATAGGTTCATTGTAAGATCAGAGTGAGGATCACCTGGTTTTTTTTTTATGAGGATCACTTGTTTGAAGAACAATTATGCTCCCATCTTTGGCATTTCTTACAATATTAGATGGAGAAGCAGTTCTGAAAGTCTCTAATTCCCCACCAGTATTAAATGCCTAAAGCCAGGAACAAAGCAATGAACTTGAAGGTGTAGACACTATATTTAGTCATCAAGAGATGCAGGCATGAAATCAAACCATGTTACACTGTGCCTGTTAACTTCTTGCTTTGGGATCAAGTAGATGTGTGTTTGAATTCTGGCTGTGTCTCTTGTCTGAAATAGGACTTTGGATAAATCATTTGTCTTCTAAGTCTCTACTGTCATTACTGGAGAGAAGAATAGGAATCTACTACATGGTTTTAGGTCTATTTCACCACCAGCTTTAATTTAGTCAGTGTGTTCTGGAGATACTTTGCCAAACATTGTTTTTTACTGATGTCCCAAGCCCGTAACTCAGTCATTTAGGGAATAAAATATTCAGTGATCCCTAACCTACATGAGCATCATAATCTCTAAGGTCTTAATAAAATACATGTTTCTAAGACTTAGGGCCAGATTTGGACTCAATAGATATGGAGAAGAGCATTAGGAATTTGCACAAAAATACATGGAGAAGTGGCACTGGTGAAATAGACACAATTGAAACTACTATTTTATGTGATCGTATCATCTCATTTTTTAATAGCATCACCCCTAGATAATGGCTAAAAGTTATAATTCCTGGATATATAGCTAATAAAAAAACTTCTTACTCAATCCAGTGCAGAACAGACTGACTCAACATGGCATAAAAACCTAAAAACAAACCCTCAAGAGTAATGTATTCTTAATGAAACAGTGCAGTTATTCAGAAAGTTATTTATTATTTTCAGGTGTATGTACATTATAGTATATGACAGAGATCAACTTTTATTTGTCCTCTCCCTTCATAGCACATTTCTGAAGGCTAATGCTAGGAATCACCAATGCCAGTGACCATTAGAGATGAAAGATGTGATGAAAGGTAATGAGTAGGTCTGCTCACCTTTTCTTGAAAAGTATTTTCTACGGCTTATCCTAGTGATTTTTGTGATGTACCTGGAGCATATGTAAAGGCAGTGTTTGTGTAGCTAACTAAAGACTTTAACGTTCAGAGAGACAACTTGAGCAAAAAAAATACTGTGGTATCTTAGATGTTGAGTTTATGAAAAGAAATGAGCAAAAGCCATGTGAATTCTGCAAGGAAGAATGAACCATGAGAACTTTTCTAAGTACATTTTAGGGCCAAAATGTCCTAGTAGGAGCCCATCTCAGTACCACTGGCAAAAATGTTTGAAATATAAATGGTTGCTTTAAAAAACATTTTTTCTCTGGAATATACTTAACATTTCAAGTGTAACCAAGCTTTAGGAATAGGTCTCAAGTTTTGTTCACCACAAAGTGCCATAACAAGGGAAAATAGACATCTGTGTTGATTTGACCCTCCAGTAATCACATGCCAAGACAGAGAAGTGTGAGATGTATTCAGAATTATACCTATGAAAGACAAGGGGGGCAGAGAGCCTCCCAGCTATGGGTCAGCTCACCTGTGAAAGAGGAAAGGTAGAAAAATTATCTGAGAAAGTCAGTCAGCCCAGTGGGGAGCTGCAGGGCAAAGACAGCACAGAGAGGAGTTCTGTCTGGAAAGAAGTGTCCAGGACCTACAGAGCATGGCCTTGGCAAGAAAGCTTCAGGATCCCAAAGATTCTGCAGCTGGAAGAAGAACTGAAAGCAGCAGAATCTTGAAAGAAGATATGAACAGCATATCCCTACAGTTGCCACCATATACAACTACACAAAAGGTTCTTTAGACTGTTAAGCTGTCATAGGAATCAACATTTTACTCCAAACCTTACAACTGGGTCAGATACCACAGCTTAGTACAGTTCCTAGAGTTCATTTTCATCTAGAAGTAAAGTATGTGCCACTTGAAAGTATAGAGTCATCCAAGACTCATTTAAAAGATTCACATTTTTTAATGATTAAAGCAACTTTTAATTTTTAAAGCTTTAGGAGAAACTAAAAGGAATATAAAATTATTTGATTTGATAGATACTAATAAAAACCATAGTTTTTATTATGAAGAAGACATTTTGATCCTCTTTGAATTTTTCTCATATTTATCTAGTGATTTGTTATCATGCATCCATGAAATTTTCAGGATGAATATTTTCTTACTTAAAAACTACAATGTAGGGCTGGGGATTTAGCTCAGTGGTTCTGGCACCTGCCTCGCAAGTGCAAGGTCCTAAGTTCAATCCCCCATACCAAAAAAACCCCCAAAAAACTACAATGTATAAATTACACTGACCTACATTTGCAAAAATTTTGCTGTTTGTAACCAAATGAAAAGAATCAGCGCTTTATAATAGTGATTTATTACATTTGTATAGTGTTCATAATTTACAAAATACCAATTCAATCTTCTTAACAATTTTGTGTGGTGGATTGTACAACTCAATCAACCCTGTTTTACAGATGAGGAAACTGAAGTTCAAAAAAGTTAAATGAATTGTTGAAGGTACAGATATGACACAATAACGCAGTCTTCAAAGTATTTAGTTCAATTTCCAAAATGTATATCAATTTCCAAAATGAAGTTTCAATAACTAAAGCAGTGAATAGAAAATGAGTAGCCAGACTGAATTTCATGTTTATTTGAATTAGTTATATGTAATATTATATACAGTCAACCTATTACATATAATCCCTTCTGCAAAATTGTGAATTTTTTTTGCACTAGACATTTTGTGGATTGTGGATGGAAGATAGGTGGAAAGGCAAAGAAACAGTTCCTTGGATTGTTCAATTAGGAAACCATTTCATCACTGTGAATGTACTTAAGGTCACTGAATTATATATGTAAAAATAGTTTACATGGTAGATCTTACTTAAGTACATTTTTCTACAGTAAAACAAATCTTAAAAATTAGTTGTCTATATACATCAGCTCCCTAGTTATTTGGGCTATTATTCATAAGACTAATACTTAACCTCTTATGCGTAAAAACACAGTGAGCCATATTGCAGAATGTAACACAACTCTCACAGGTATAAAAAAGGACTAAAATTGTAGTACTAAAAACTCCATCTTTTCTTTTTACTTTCTGCATCACACTACTTAAAATACATGAATGAAGTTAAGCTTGTAAGATCTATCATTCACAAATTTTATATCATTCAAAATTATTATTAAATAATATACTACTTGATACACCTATCACAATCAATTTGCACCAAGAAATATGTCACAGATGGATAAATTCCAAATATATCCACTATTTAAAGCTTTTGAAAAGTCATTATGTCATTTTGCCTTGCTCAGTTTTTTTATGTAGTATATTCAACTAATTTAACTAACATAAATAACATAAATGATTAAAGGGATCAATTAAAGTATAAAATCTTTTGAGGGGCCAGGGATTTAGCTCAGTGGTTCTGCCACCTGTCTCACAAGTTCAAGGACCCGAGTTCGATCCCTGGTACCAAAAAAAAAAAAAAAGTAAAATCTTTTGAGTTGAATACTTTTTTGAAGATAAGCTAGTCATTGTCTCTTGTTAACATTTTCCCCTTCATCCTTCTGTCCATCTGTATTTCCTATCTGCTTACATATGTCTTCTTTCCACAGACACTTGGTACCAACAATATGAAAATACTAAGGATCAGAGCTGAACTAAGACGTGGACTTTGTCATCAAGAAGTCCATATCTTCATCAGTTAGTTTGTCTAAAGTCTGGGGATTGGCTAACATACTATGACTAACAGGACTCCACCAAAGAAAAGGAAAGAGAGGAATATACTAACACATAAGTAGAAAAGTATACTTTTCGCCATGTGCTTTGATAAGTATTTTGTCTCATTTACTTTAATTATTCTTTGAGACTATAGTAACTACAAGTGAGTAAATTCAAGTCTGAGAAGGCCATAAAATTCATCCAAGTCCATAGCTGGAAAGTGGGGGGAAAATCAAGATGAGTGTGTGTGTGTGTGTGTGTGTGTGTGTGTGTGTGTGTGTGCTGGCTTCCAAATTTACTCTGAAATTATGATTCTCGATTACCATTCCTATTTATTCCACTCACTAATTCATTTATTTCATATTATTTTTACAGGTCCATCCATCTACATGTTTTAATTTGACTCCTTTCATTTTCTGTTTGAATTCTTTTTCTAGAACTTTAGGCCCATTTTAGGTCTTATTTCTGCGTCTTCACATCATTTCCAAACTGTTGCTATATTTGGTTTCCTACTCTTTGTGTTGAGAGAACTTTACATGTATTGTTTTAATATTATAAGCAATCCTTGACTGCTAGCATGGTAACTGTATGCATCCTACAAATAAGTAACAGTCTTAGGGAGGCAGAATGCTAAGTAGAACACACATTAAAGTGCATTATAGTGATATAAATCACTTATAAAATATTTGAAATTAATTGTCTGTATTCTTTAAGTGTACTCCTGATAACCATCATCAGGAGGCCGGCCAGGGATAGCAGGGGTTTTTTTCTGTAAAGAGCCATATAATAAATATTTTAGGCTTCATTGCTCAATTTGCAATTTCTGTCACATATTCTTTTGTATTTTTTCACAACGCTTTAAAATGTAAACACAAACAAAACACATATTCCAAAAAGGAAAACAAATTCTTTAATTGCAGTCTGGTCAAAAGCAGGCTAATGACTAAATATGGCCTGAGGGCTGCTGTTTGTTGAATCTACACACTACCTTCCTAACCACTATACAGTAAAAATCGACTTTGTAGCTATGGTATATACATTGTTTGTCATTTCATAACTCTCCCTTATTTGTACTATTTTTAATTGCACTCGAGATTCACCCACATCTTATAGGCAACCAAAAAAAATTCTCTGAATAGCAAGATTCTGCCAATTTTCAACAACCCTAAATGGTGATTGTCTTGGAAGACTAGGGATTATTTTCATGTTGTTTTCTAGCTGTTTTATTCTCAGGCCAATCTGCAATATTGGTATGGTTGAGCTGCAGACTGTGAGAGGCCTCAGAGAATTCACACATAACCCTCATGATCATAATGCCATCTTCTACTCCCCTGCCTGCCTGGGATGCTGTTCTTTGAGAATTCTTCCCAATAAACTCCCTAATCTTAATAGGGCTTATTTATCTAGGGTTTACCTTACACTAAAGCTCTCCTTTGGGCTCTGATTTGAAATGGAAAATGGCTGACATACTTGTGACTGACATGGTAGAAAAGAAACTGAGAGACTGAAGATCAGATAGGCTTTAGGGGCGTTTCTATTTTGTTGTGAGTTTAAAAAATACTCTGGTAGAAAACAAAATAATTGGCCTCCCTCCTTGGTTGTTTTTCCCATGGAGCAGCCATGTAGTCTAGCACAGTTCCAGCCATGGAGGCCTAGTAACAGAAACTGCTGGGAGGTGTTTATGAGAGTGGCAGCAGAGCCTGCTAGCATGCCCCACCTTTTGTCCTTACTCCTTCAAATCCCAACAGTAATCATATGGTCATCTGACTATGCCAAAAATTCCACGAGACTCACAGACAAATGATAGTCTCACTGAAAAGTTAACTAGAAAGTTAAAAGAGAGGGGATAAAACCACAAATGTCTTGTTTAAACCAACATAGTCTCGGTTTTTAATTATGTGCAACTGAACACAATCCTGATCTAATTCATTCCTTTCTAATTTCCCTTTAAGGGTACTGCTACTGTGCGTGTGTGTGTGTGTGTGTGTGTGTGCGTGCACATGCAACAAAAAAGGAAGCAAATACTCTCATCATCAAGAATTTTGCTTCTCCAAATTAGTGGACTAATGCATCTTTAGGACACAGTGTTTATTATGAACTGTGCTGACCACTAGATTCATTAATTTCCCAGTGCTTCTTTCAACAGTTTCCTGATTACTGACCAATAAGGAGGCACCGACTATTGTCGGTGTCTGCTCTCCACCCAAGCTAAAAAGTTAAATTAATCATATCCACCTTCAGGTCCCTGAGATTCCTCTCAATTTTGCCTTCTTTGAACAGCAGCCTCATATCCTATCACCAATAAGTGCTTAACATATGTCTTAAATACACACATAATTCTTCTTGCTAACTGGATGTAGGCTTGTTTCTACCTCTCAATAACAAATTCTTTGAAAGCTGTTAACTTTTTAATTGCTTCTGAACATTTATCATTCCTCTGGGAAGATAACCCTGATCATATGCATAGTTTTTATTTTCAAATATTATCTTACCTGGTTTTTGTCAAGTGATAACTTTGAAAGGTCTTCGTGACTTCCCAAAATTCCAAATTTCTTTTCTTCATTTCTCTTTTAAAGGCAGATAATAAAATGAATACAATCACATAGCAATCTTCTCACTTTCCATTCCACATTTTAAAAGCCATCTGGTCTAATTCCCCACAAGTTTTAATGACAGAAATATTCTTATTGGGTTCTTCCCTTTGTAAGTATAAGGACATTTCATTTGGATATTGAATAATCTCAGGTTGCAATTCTAATCAGACCTAAAAATTGCACACTAAATTACATTAAGTAAAGTAAGAGAATTTTTTCCCACTTAACCTAGTGACTACTGTAAGTCATATATATGGAAGAATGCCATAAATGGTATATTTTTTTAAAATTCCTTCAAAATAATTATAACAATAACTATTTTAAATAGGTCTTTAGAATTCTCAACACACTTTTACATATTTATTTGATCTGATCATCATGATATAGGTATAGCTTTATTCCTATGCCAAGTTGAGGAAGCTAGAAGTCAGATAGCTTGTTACTTTTTTTTTTTTTTTTGTACCAGGGATCGAACTCAGGAACTTGTGCTTGTGAGTCAGGCATGGTGCCACTGAGCTAAATCCCCAGCCCAGCTTGTTACTTTTTTGAGAGCCCCAAGTAATAAGTGTCAAACAAAGCAGTAACTGGGGGACATGTTTTCCCTTTATTAAATGATAGAATTTTATTATTGCAAGATTACTTCAATCATTTGGTTCAATTGCCCACCCAGTATAGGAAAGAGGATCATGTACAAATTTCTAATGTCAGCCATCCAGTATTTATGGATTTCCTAGTTATAGGAAGATTCCTACTTCCTAAGACAACTCACTGCTCTATTGAGCAGATATTATTATTTCAAGTTTGTTCTTACAAAAAACTAAAATTGAACTATTTGTAAATTTTGCTCATTGACTTTTTTCCTATTTTTGAAGAAAAAAAAATAAGTGTACTCCCTAATTAAAAGTGGGTAGTTTTGCTCGGGATTTAGCTCAGTGGTTCTGGCGCCTGCCTCACAAGTGCAAGGTCCTGAGTTTGATCTCTGGTACCAGAAAAAAAAGTGGGTGGTTTTTAGTTTAATTTATTTTTATTTTTTATTAGTACATGTTTCTTTATAGTTCCTTGTGGGAGTTAGTCCATGTACAAAGCACACTTTAATTCTTCCAATTCTCTCCCCTTCCCTCCATCTCTTCATCCCTTCCCCTTTGAGAATGATCAGTGTCCCTACTTCCTATCATCTATCTATTATTTTGTTCTTTATTATACTTGGGCTTCTCAGAAAGTGGGTATTTTGAAGATATTATTGTTCTTTTTCAATGTTCCTTTTTTAGAAGAAATAGCCAGCTACTTCCATTCCCCATCAAGTGATACTACATCCAAACCTGTTCCCTCCCAGATTCTCCTCCTCTGGACACAGCTCAGTTCCCCTTGGGTGTAATGTTCTGCACCCAGCAGAGATCCTTGAACAGGGAAAGCAACTGCCCCTGACCAACCCTTAGTTATACACAACAATCCACGTGTGCATTAATCAAATCTGACCACAGTGCAAGCATCTTACCCTTCATCTATCTCAGTACTCTATCATGGTTTCTGAGATTGCATTTTCTCATGGGATTATTTTTTTCAATTAGTGTCATTAGCTCTTTTTTTCCTCAAACTACATGTGGACAGTTGGTTTCTGAACTTTGCAATGCAGAAGTTGAGTTGGCCAGTTCCCACCAGCCGTAAACAATTACTGATAATTTACCTAGCCCTATAAATAGATGGTGAAGTGAGGAACTTGTAGCCACAAGAGCAAAAACATGGGGTCCAAATAGCTTTCCTTTTCAGTACACACTCAGATAATGTAATGCATAATTTGTTTCATTTCATGAATTTTTATTATACACTATTAAGTAGAAAATACCCAAGGTGTTCATGGACACAAGTCAAGGGACTGCATTATATTACATCATTGCATTTGGGTACAGTGGATATATTATAAGAGACCACTTCTTTTTAGAAGTAGTGGCTCAGTGTGAGGTAGCATAGAAGAAATAAAACTAGGCAGAAAGGAGAAAAGGAAATTGAGCTTTAAAAGTTGTACTTACAAAAACTGCATCTGCAATACACCAAAGTTACTTGAGCCTTTTTTCTTTCCAGAAAACTCACTTTAAAAATTCCTAAAGGTCTTAAAGACACAATAAGCCTGTAAACTAGGCTCTGGACCTGTCCTTTGCATCTGTAAATTGTACTTCCTCCACCCTCAAGGAAGTAGCTGTCTTAGTGGACAACAGATGTCAACTTCAAACACATGTAAATGGCTTGCACTTTGACATAGTCTGAGAGAGAGGTGACCTGATAGACAGTAGGAATATATGTCCTGGATCACTTATCTTGAAGACACCCTGAAGCCCTTATAAATACATATATCCAGCCCCAGCTCATAACGTGTTTCATTTCTTTGAGCTCCCACACTTCACTCTTGAGAGCATCCTAAAATCTCTGCCTAATGAACACTTTCTGTGCCTCTGATGGACATGTCCTTAAAATTCTTTTTCCATGGAGGGAAACCTGCAAACTTATTCTACAAAAGGCTGGGATAGGTTCTTTATTTCAGCCTTGGGGGACCTCTCATATCCAGCCTGGTGACAAGTAGTACAGTGATCACAATATTTAAGAAGATAATGATAAATTATCAAACTAAATTACCTTATTCATCTCTGCATCCTCTTGGAAACCTTTTTTATGACCCTGGAACAGCTCAGAAATCCACTTTTTAAATTTCAGTAAGAGATACAACAGTGACTTTGGGCTTGGCATCAGGTTGAAGGGAACAGGAAGTGTTCTCCCCTCCTCGAAGTAGGAAAACCAAAGTTTGGCCCTTGCAAATTTCCATTCCACATCAGCATCATCCTATACAAATACACGTGACCATTCAGCAAGGAAATGCATAAGTAGAATTAATAGGATACTCCTACACTCTGCAGCCAGATAGAAGTAACAATTTGCAAACTCTCAGACCTCCAAGGCTGCTCCAAGCCATCTCCAAAGTTCTATTCACTCATTCTTTCATATGACTATTTAAATTTTTGTCAGGGTTACTAAAGTACAGATCTTAAAACTGGCCTGTATTTTACATATGTGCTGAAAAATATTAATGTGCTTTCCTCCATTCTAAAAAAATTGTGAAAAATCGTTCTCTTTTGTTTTGCAATACATCACTCATTCATTCATTCAGGATACAGACTAAGATTTCTAGAATAAAAATTTACTTTATCATTCTGTACTTGAGAAAGGGTCAATTTGAACATTGTTCAATCAAGATTTGGAGAATAGAATTATTTGTAAGCAGTAATTTTCGAATAAAAATTATGGTATTTCCAAAATATAGTGTTTCTAACGTTCTTTTAAACAATAATGAATCAGACATCTCTGCTTCTTGTGCCTTAATATCTCATATTCCCCATTTGGGTTTAAAAGCAGAGTTAAATTTTTCTGGATTACCGGTCAAGCAAGTACATATATAAAAGAGGGAAAGAACAAAGGAGAGATAGTCGTCCATACTTCATTCCATTGTTTAGCTGCTCCCTGGAATAGTCACAACATGTAAGCACAGGCTACAAAATGTATAAAGATTATACCTCAATTTCCTGGAATGAACTGTTGATCATTGCAATTAACATATTTAACAAAACAATGACCATTGTAACGTTATAGACTCCATAAAGAACATAGCCGATATTTTCAATAAATTTATGATTATAGTTGATGACCACTGATTTCACTTCAGAAAGTCCAAATATGGCCCAGAACAGTGTTTTAAAGCTCTCTTCAACTCTAGGGAAAAATAAAAGAAATAAGAAAGCATATAAATACATAAAAATAGTACCATAGTAAAATTCATTTGACTTAGCATCTTTGCAAATTACTAGGTATTTGTGACAAAATTCTTTACTTATCTGAATCTTCATTTTCTTATCTGTAAAATGGCTGTAGTGGCACTAACCTTTAGAAGTGTTGTAAGGATAAGGTAATAGATATTGCACATATGAAGCACATAGCTCAATATCTGGCCAGAATAAGCACTCAATAAATGCTGTAACATAACTTCATAATCATAGGTACTAACATTTAAATAATCCATGGCTTTGGCAATACAAATGTTAAATATTAAATACAATGTGTGGAAGTATTTTTACATTTTCTGCTCATCTGTGCATCTACTCATATTTAATAAGGAGAAACTAACTGTATGTATCTTAAGGGCGGAAAATGACAATATAAACATAGGCAGTGTTATTCAAATCACTGACATGCCTTAGGGATGAATTTCGATGCTTTGGGCATAATCATTGACCAGAGCTAAACCCATCTGCTTAACACAGGTAGTTTCATTTCCTTAAAAAAATAACACTTAAAAAGAACAAGAAAAACAATATGTTATGCTTCAGTTGATGTTACTCTTAACACTGAAGGTCTAACATTTAAATAATCTAGTCCAAGAACAATTTATTATTTACACATGTGCCCATGTTGGATGTTAAGTCAGTACTCTTATTATTAATAACAACTCAAATCTTTTCAATAATAAAGTCTGATAAATTAAATTAGGAAAGCATCTGTTCAGTACCCCAGGAGTCCCTAGTAGAGGAAAGGCATAGGATTTCAGGGCAATAGATGCCCAGCAGTGAACAACAGGTTGTATCCTGGCTTTTCCACAAAGTAGCAGCTGAATGCAAAGAACATTCAGCAAATTATTTAACTTTTGAAAATTTCTCTTTCCTCCTTTTGTGAAATGTAGATAATAAAGTTATGCATGAGAGATATTATGAATTGTCTGGCTCTAAAATATTTGCTATTATTTAATTTTAGGAAAGTTCCTATGTTTTAGAGTTCTCTCAACTCATTTTAAAATCCTGAAAAGGAATTAGAGAGGAAGTCTTTACCAAAGCATGAATTTATATAAACACCGTTCAACGAATATTTGTTTAATCTGCAATCTCCATTGTCAAAACACCTGAGATCACATACGTTGTGAAGGCTTCATTTTGTTTTGCACCAATGTAGTAGGAGTAGAGGTTGAACATCCCAATCATAAAGGCCACAAACACCATGATGAATATGACCATGAACTTGAAGATATCTTTTACTGTTCTTCCAAGTGATATCTGCAGAGGTCCAAAGCTTTCATTTGCTGGTAAAATATAAGCTATTCTGGAGAAACTTAAAACTACAGCAATTGCATAAAGACCTTCAGAGATAATTTGAGGATCAGAGGGGTCCCATTTTATCCTGGCTAGGAAAAAAATCAAAGACAAGAGTAATGGTAAGTTTATTGATGTTTTTATTTAGGTAATTTCTTTTCTAGTAAAAATGTATATAATTACATTGGCAATTCAGTTCACAAATGAAAGTTGATCTAAAGGCTTTCTTTAGTGTCAGCTGTATTTGAATTTATGAATGCTTATGAATTTATTGAGAAGATGACCTTTCTGGCTTGCTAGCAATTTTCCATAAAGGCATAGCATAATATTAAAAACTCACACTGTAGAATATGAGCTACAAAACTTCCAGTAGATTGTTTCATCAGCTACTGTGTCTATATCAAAATATATCTCAACTGAAATAAGTTGTGTAAATTACTTGTTAGTTTTAATTTGCCTCTCTTTAAAAATGAAATAATACATTTCCCATCTTGCTCATTTGTGAGAATTAAATAAGTTCATATATGTTCAGTGTTTAGAAAGTGTCTTGCACTTAAATTATGGCATTTATTATTTAAATGGAACTATAATTACACTATAATGTAATATGGGGCTTGTGGAGTACTTGCAGTTGCTTAAACTTATTTAAGTATTTTTATCAGTCACTCAAAGAAGTTTATTTTATCACAAAAATATTGTAATGCTTCACTTGTGATTTTTTCTGGCATTATTATATCAGCTCATCAAAAACTCAATTAAGAAACCATTGTGAGGAAAATGTAAAACAGCATGTAAGATAGAGGAAAAATATGATTATAAATTTGTATTTGTTTATTTTCTCAGTAGAATTAGGAAAGGAAAACAAGAAACTAATAAATGCCAGAAAAAATGGCTATCATCAAGAAATCAAATAATAACAAATGCACTTTTCTTCTTATAGTACTTTGAATACTAGTATTATCTATAAATAAATATCACTGACTTTAAAATATTCTCTATATTTAAAATTTTTTTAAAGAACATATTTAAATAAGCCTTAAAAATTAATAATGAGGTATCCCTCATTTGAGTAAGGCAAAATATAAGCAAAGTGCAAAATAAAGGATGGATAGAGGGAAACAAGGAGATAGATCTCTTGCAAATGGGAAGAGGTCCAAGAAACCAAAGATGAGTAAGGGGGGAGGGGAATAAGAAATATGAAAACATGCCATGTATAGATACCAATAGCCACAGTGAATATAAACATTATGTGTCATAAACATGAGCCAATCATAACAATAACAAGAAGAATGAAAACAGGAAAAGGGACTTTAGAGACAGAGGAAGGGAGGTGGATGGGAAAAGGATTAAAAAAGAAACAAGCTGTGTTATGTACATGTACCTATTCTCCGAAAGGAATGTAAACTTCATGTACTGCAGACATGTATTAATAATTAATAATGAAAAAGGAGCCTGTATGTGATATAGTCATTAAGCCACAGAGGTGCCAATTGAATGTAAACTGATTTCTCATCAGAACGTTTGAGATAAATATTCATAGGGATTATATTTTCTCCAAGCCAAGTTTCTACTGGAGCTATTTGCTTTTTAATTCTTTCATTGGTACATTTTAGGTATACAATACATTTACATTTATCATTGGGTGCTTGTACCTGTACATGATGTATCTTAGTTCTTACTTTTTCCCCCATTACCTGTGCGCCCTTCACCCGCTCCACCCTTCCCTATTTACATAAATTTCATTTCCATTTTTTTCTTTTCTCATAATTTTTCCTTTCCCTTCTT